AAGCTTGTTAGTAGACTGTATTTGTAAAATAATTCTAGAAATATAAATTAATATAAACAGAAATGAACATAAATAGAAATGACATAAAACCAATTCGAGCCCATTGAATTCACAGTGTTTCCTTAAGGAATTTAATCCCCTCCTAGTACCCAAGGTTATGGATTATTTCCTCCCAGGATAGAACGAACTACACATTGGTGTAGTGGTACTTCAAACCCCAGTGTTTCAGCGAACACAAAGTTCGGTAGCAAATCACACTTACTTTTTACTTTGTTTGATGCTAAAAGTATGCAGAAGAAGGAGAAGAAACTCAGAAAATCGTAGTGAAATTCTAAGCAGAATAGTGTTGTATTTATAGCCAAAATTGGGCTGAAATCTGAAGAGGTGCAACTCTTCAGAATGGCTGCTTATGCAAAACGCCCACATCATAAATGTCATTACATAAATGGCCATTTACTCAACAATAAAGAGGAAAAATAAAGAGGGAAAATTGAAGAGGGTAGTTACTTTTCTGTTAACAAAACAGAAAAACGGATTGGATTTAATATTAATATTTAATATTAATATTTTGTTATTAAAACAAATATTTAATAACATTTTTGTTAATATTTTACTATTAACAAATAAATTTGGTCCAAAAAGTTAATCAATCAACCGAAACCGAAGCCGAAGCCGAGCCGAGCGAGCGACGACGACGCGGTGCGAGGCTTACCTTCTTCTCAACTCTTTAAGAGCTAGAAGAAGAGCAATTGCTTATATACCCATAAAAATACTCTTCCTCTTCCAATATGGGACAATGCCCATTTGCCAAGGGGGGAATTTAAAATTTCACTCAAAAATTTCATTTCCCTCCATTTGCCATTCACCTTCTTTTAAGTATTTAATATATATTAATTAAATACATCCAAAACCCAACAAAAGCCTCCAACATTCTCCACGTGTACCTTTATAAGTACTGTACCCCTTTTATATTTATTTATTTAGTTTATTTTTATTTTGCATTTTTCAATCTCCAAAAAGATGACGGCATAAAGACGGCGAGAGCAGCCAACTTGCCCGATTTCGAAATGACAAAGTCAATTTAATCTGACAAAACCAATTTATCAAAATGCAAGGTAATAGAAGTACTCCATGAGTTTTTATGATTTATATATAGTTCTTGATTCATTCTTGTTCACATCTGAAAGTCTTATTTTCACGGGACCAAGTGTACCATAGATGGATTTATCCTTATTTTCCACCTACCCTAAGATCGATAAACACAACAAATAATTTTTCAAATTTTGAATATCACTCTCCCTCCTTTCCGTACGTCAATCTTCATAGTTGCTCCTTAATAATTACCCCTGCATTCTCATAGTTTAATCATGATTGTCTGAGACAAACTTCGACAACAATGTCAACAACAACAATAATATCCAATATATTTTCACAAGTGGGGTTTGGGGAGGGTAGGATGTATGCAGCCTTATCCCCCTACCTTGGAAAAACAGAAAGACTATTTCCGCAAGACCCTTGGCTAAAGAGAATCTGAAACTAACTTCTTGCTTAAATTAAGCTAGCGTTTGGCCATAGATCCCAAATTTATTTTAAAAAATCTGCTTTGGGTGAAGTTTGGTTTGAAGATGAAAATTTGTTTGGACATACGTTTTCAAAACATATTTTCCAACTTTATTTTGGAAAAACATGTATATAATTCCCAAGTTTTGGGATTTTGACCCAAAATCAGCTCAGATTTGAGATTTGGGATTTGGCCAAAATATGGGCAAAATTTATGGCCAAACATGAGTTTTGAAAATAAATTTCAAATTTATTTTGGCAAAACTCATGGCCAAACGGGGCCTAAGTATCGCAAGGTACTCGTGGGTAATAGATAAGTCCAATAGCATAGAATATTCAAAAGTAAAAGAGAAAAGTGAAACTCCCTAACCCTTTAAGTTGGCAGTTCGAAAACTCCAATTCACTCAATAATTTTGGTAGTGGTAGGAATTGGCAACTGCTAATTAGAGAAAATCGAAATAATCGAAGTTCAATACTTGGGTAGAATTTGCTCCTCTGCTTTTGCAAGGAAAGAAAAAAGAAGTAAGATCTAATTATTACATCCTTAAAGTTACATGATTACATCTATGGTCAATTAAAATACCACTCTCCAATCTTCCACAGTTTCTTGAAATCTTTGGTTTAATACTCCTATAATTACTTCGTTGATCCGACTGTCGTGCATTACTAAAGAAGGAAACTTCCAAAAAAGGGAAAATAAAAAAGAAAGGTGAAATTGATATGGTCTGTTAACGTTGTAAAAGCAAAGTCGAAATATTCAAAGGAGCAAAATTCAATAATGTTGGATTAGACTTTTGGTGAGACAATTCACCAATTGGTGTAAAAATTTGAAGATCAAGGCAACCGTACTTGAAAAAGGATTAAACGAAAGCATGCCGCATGTTTAAGAATAGTAACTACTTCCGCCGTTTCATTTTATATTGCATTAATTGATTAAGGGACTTTTTCGTGTATATATATACGGGATTTTAAATTTATTTATATGGTTTTGTTTAAGTTTTCATATTTAAGAAAGTAACTAAAGTTTTTTTATAAAATATGTATAAATTTGGTCAAAATCTACAATATATCAACTTAAATATACATTTTTTGTACAGAATCCGGTCAAAAATTACAATTTACATATAATTTATATACAACTTAAATACAATTATGCAAGTTGTAGATATTTTGTATACCGTTTCTACACTCGACATACAAAATTTATATTATCTCTTCTTTTTCGAGTTTCAATCTGAAATTTCAACCAAAAACACCTTGAATCTTCACCAAATTATTTCAAAATTGAGATATAAACTCCAAAGGATATTCCTAATAATTTGCAACAACACCCAAGCCAAACATAAAATAATTTTACAAATTTCGATTTTCGAATTCAAAGCTTCTAAGCTTTCTAATGGATTAACATAGTTTCCAATTCAATCTACTCGCTTCTGATTAATACTATTTTGTTTATTGATTCCAAAAGGCTAAAAGAAATTAACAATCTTCCCTCGTTCAAAAGTGATAATTTGTTCATTGTTTAACATATGAAAAAAGAATAGAAAATATAAAGAAGGAGAAAACATAATAGAATTGCTTGATGCCAAATATCTTTCTTCTCGTAGTGGTATGCCTGAAGTGGGAGGAGAAAGAGGCCAAACATTCTTCTGTTAATTTTTTATATTTAGTTTTGGGGTGGAAGAGGGAGAGAAAGTATGGAAGATTAGAGTCAAATATATTATTTTGTATAAAATTGGTAATTTGTATATGGACTTGTAATTAAGTTAAAATCTCAATAGTGAGGGTAAATACGTTTCTAAATTAGTATAAATAAGTAAAAATCTCATTGATTAAAAGGAGAATTACACGTCTTATCACTTGTGCCAACATCATATCAGAAAATGGCCTATGTTTGAAGTCCTAACCCGGTATCGCCCAGGTTGTACATAACCTTAACATTACCTTGGTTCATTAGCCCATCCTTTTAATTATTTTTTTCTTTTCTTCATTCTTCTTCTTCCGTGTTCCGACTTTGCACCCCAAAATTTCTTTACCATTATTATTCTCCCACAACTCTTCTTTCAGAGGATAACCACTATTTGGATGAAGAATAATACGTAAAAGAATTATTGTTTTTGGAGCCATATGAAGATCACTTCCTCCATTGGAATGGAGAGAACTGTGTTTATTGTCATGATTAAAGAGGTACACTTAGAAAAAAGGTGTTGCGATGGCCTCAGTCTTATCCTCATTCCACATTTAATTTTAATCCTAGTGGCTGATTAAAAACTTGTAAAAAAGAAGTCACCATTAAAGGTTGTTCGGAGCTTCGATTTCAAAAATTGGGTTTTCTAACTTGTTAGTTGTTTGGATTCGTGTTGTCCCAATTAATTGGAATCATCAAGAGAAGTTCAAAAGTTAAATTTGAAGTGATTTGTAGAAGATTTAGGCTACACTTGAATTAAATTTCAGAAGATGCCCAAGGAAGAAGAAGAACCCGTGAAGCATCATTGCTAGGATTCATTTGCATAATATTGTATAAATAGTGTACAATTGTGTATAAACACCACTTCATCTTCTTATACACCTATATACATAGTGTATCACGAACATTTTCACATCTTTATACACTTTTATACAACTATATCATAATGTGTCTCTTTGTATAAAAGTGTAAGCATCTCCGATGAACTTCTTGTACGATTTTCACTTGTAATTCTTGTACGATTTCAAACTTTGTATATAACCTATTTAGACTATTTCTAATAAGTTCAAACAATACCCACTCCAAGTTTCTCACAAAAACATATTTGAAATTTAATAAGATTAGCATTATGAGATTTTAGATTTCTCGCGTTTGTTTCTGCGTCTTTGTAGCTGGGATAGGTATGTATAACTTGAGAAAAAAGAAGAATAAGAACTCACGAATATTTAACCCCTGAATATCAGGAGAATAAAAAAAAATGAAAAAAAATCACTTGTGAGCTTATTTATATTTGGCTACTCATTTGCAAACTTGTAACTGGGCTAAATTATTGCAACGTCGGCTTATGGAGTGATTTATTGTGTAATTCTTTCTTAATTAAACACAGAATATTAAAGATAAAAAATTCTTTTTATCAGATATCAAAAATACCCTTGTGTCAGTATTTTAAAGGGACCTAGGTAAGTATAATGCACCCCACGATTATGATATGTCCATGGCTCGAAGATACGTTATAGAAATCTTAAACATTTCGTTGGAAAGGCCCCTTAAGATTCATCCATCTTTTATATGAAATTACAGTATAGAACTAAGAGATTAATGCCATCCATTGTTGGCAAGCAAACTATAGCTGATATACTATCTAAAAGATTTTCTTTTCTTTTTTGGGTTGGTTGGTTTCATGGTCTGGGTGGAGAGGGAAGGCAAGTATGTTAGTTCAGTCTGCCATATCGTCAGATGGCCTAAATAAGCCTTCAAGGGAAAAGATACCATTAATTATATTTAAAAGAAAAAATAAAGCAAAAACAAACATAGTCGTGTTAAATTAGCAGTACTTGTAACTTTTAGATGCCTGATCTTACATATGACATCTAGAAATCAAGAATCAACTTTGAAGGGGGGAGGATGATAGAGATAAGAATGAAATTCATTTGCAAAACCTCTGTGATGTATGGATTGATTAACTGCTACTGCCTTGATATCGAATTGCAGAGCATCTTATTGCTGAAAGAACACAACAAAATTATCAGGAATCGAAGTATGATGCAAGATATCTCAGTTATCTCTACTAGGTGTCCAGTAGAACTGCTCTCAATTAGACTACCAGCAACACAAAAGGTCATGCAAAGGAAAAAAGAAGTTGATATGGAATGAAGCTGAAGCAAGGAAATTTCTTATAGTTGGACATTTTAATCAATGCTTCAGACAGAACGCGTAAATCTGGATTTACTAATGAGATTAAAAAAAAGGGTTCCAGAAACAAACAGGAAACATTTCAGTCATTTAGGCTCCACGCATATCATACTCAAATGTGGAATTTTTTAAGTCACCAGAGAAAAAGATACGATTGATATAAGTAGGACTTATGATCCAAACAGGAGTATTTGGAACCCGAACGTTGGTACATATATTGAAGTTAGCAAATGAGGAACTTACAGCACTATTAAGAAGAGGAAGAGACATGATCACAAACACCAGGCAGCCATCCTTTGAAGAACTCTACATCATCTATCGCAGCAGGAGATAAGGCACCAAGGGGCGTAACAGTAATCTGTAGTTAAGGGTAAGTAACATGTTAATGATGAGCCATTGGCAAGAGCCGTCAAATAGGTTCCATCAAATAAATGAGTTCTACATACATAGCCTTGTTGAAGAAAAGAGTAATCACCAGCCTCATCATCCACTTGTGCTCCCCTGACCTGGTAAAGGATAGACGTACAATTCGTTTAATAACTGTAGAAAGACATTTTACCGGAAAAAACCTGTATAAAGCTAGATGAAGGAAACCAGAACATCTCAAATGCTATGTCCTTGAGTAAAATAAGAACCCGTTAGAAACAAATTTTAAGAACTTGGGTAGATAATTGCAATCTTAGGGTCTATAATGTAATCATCCTGTCACTTGTACAATAGGCACCATTACAATAGTTAATCCACAAGAAGAATCAACAGTAGCGAACTCCTCGAGACAGCTATCTCTGTGGAATGGGAAGGAAAGCTGAAACAGAAATTATAGGAATATATGGGAATCTATGACTATTCTCAAATCAAAACTTTTCCTTGTACAAATATTTTAGGTATATTAGCAACCCCTTTTGTTCATCAGGAAGATTGTTCATTCTTGACCTCTTGTCAGAAAGAGAGATAAAAGACACATGTCATAATCTACAATGATTCAGGTAAGAAAACCTCCAAGAAAACTTTTTCAACCCCCTCCCCCCTCCCAAAGAAAAAAGGGGAGTTCAAAAAGGATAATGCATGAGAACATGCTGAAAAATAACATGAGGGTAAGATATTCAACATTGTGAATGAGACAAGAAAAGGGTATCACGTTGCACAGGCGGGAAAATGCTATGAAAAGGTAACACATTGGAGCAGAGGAAGAAATACATTTCTGTGATTAGAGTAAAAGACACTTTAGCAAATGAGTGCTAGATAGAGAAAGGGATAATACTTCTCTCTTAAACAATAGGTGTTCTTCTTGCGTGCTTGAAGCGCACTCTTGCACACATACTTCTGTACTTGTTGATGAGTCCATCGTCATTGTGGATAACATTCTTCCTCCTTGTGCTTCAGAAGTAACTTGCTTCCATCCCATTTTGTAAACACTCTTGCCTTGCTTAGTCAGGCGATAACCCTATCAATAACCAATCAGTATCTTTTTCTAGTCAATAGCATGTCTACTTTGGTAACAGTAATGCCAAAATGAATTCCAATCATCTTAGAATTTCTATATCAGGCAGAGTGGCACATTTCCCTCACAGAACCTTCACTATCAACCATAAGAATAACCTCAACCTCACCAAATTTCAGGAGCAAGGCAGAAAGTTACTAAAGAACCAACATGGTAAAATTTATATTCTCTTTCATTTTTCTAAAAGGTACTCATTTTTATACTTGATATGGTTCTTTTTTTTTTTTTTTTTTTTTTTTGAAAAGGTAAACTTGTTATGTTTTCAAGGGACTTGTTTGAATCAATTACAACATCATCCTTGAACACATTTTTCGCATCATTAGCTACTTGAATTCAACTTACCAAGTATCAGGAACATAGTAAACAGTTTCAAAATAATCAAGCCACCAAGATTTATAGTTCTCTTTTTGTTTCATTTTCTAAAGGTAATCAATTAAAAACTTGATAGACAGGATAGATTTTCAAATCAGTAACACAGAATCCTTGAAAAAATTTGCATTTGTTAGCAATTTCGGGTATTCCGAAATCAACTAGGGTAAGAAAATGTATGCAAGAAATAAAAAAGACGATGGTGATTAGGTTAAGCTTATAGGTGGCTTTATAAAAGCTTATGCAAAACCAAACCAAGTTTGAAGCTTATTAAATGTTTATTGAAGTAAAAGAAAGAAATATAAGATGCTACCTTCCAAAAATCTTTTGGGTAGGCGCAATGCCATTCTGAATATTTTCAATTTACAGACCTTTTTCAGATCAATTTTCATTCATTCATATCACACTAGGGCCGTCTCAAAAATATTTACAAAGTACTTAAATGGCTTCACAGCACACATCTAAAATCTATCAAGCTATCCCAGTCATCTATATACACGGATATTCTCGCTAACCAAAAAAATAGATGAAACAAAAATCTTTTTTATACTCATTGTACCTTTTTCAATATTTTGAAATAATCTCCCATTTCTTCTTTTCAAACTCTTTGTTAATGGCAATGTTACAGAAGCTATTGTTCGTTTTACCTTGTGATTCGTAACATCTGCGGGGACATCTATGTTAAGAAAGCAATTCTGACGGTAAGTCTTATTCTTGATCTCAGCCAATATAGCTGTAATGATGGGCATGCAAGCTTCAGCAGCCAATATGAAATTATCAACTTCGCTTTTTCCACGAACCCTGAATTTTTCAAATCACATTGATGAGTAAGAACTGAAAAGTAACTTGCCTTCAAGTTAAACTGAGGACAGGATAGTGTTATGTACTATACCATTCATATGACAGTGAGACAGAAGGAACACCATTGAAGAAAGCCTCTCGTGCACCAGCCACTGTCCCTGAGTAAACACTGCTCTACCAATAATAGATTCATTAACGTTTAGCATCTACTCATTTTACTATAAGAAAATGGCAAGTCCGCTGACTTTTCAGTAGCAGCACCAGGAAAACTTAATTAGGATTTGGACCGCTAGAAACCAAGAATTGGCAAATGAAGGTCTTGTGTAACATTTTCAACCCACATCACCACATCATTATATGGTTTCATGGATCCATGGGTGGTGCACGATTAAAAACATGAAACTTGGTTCAAAGCAAGATGGTATTAGAAAAGTAGTAATAGCCGAATCAAAATATATCCGGCCAAGAGGTAATTATTTAGCACTTCATGCAGAAGAATCTAAAGGCTCAATGCAGAGATATACTAACATGTGATACCCGCAATTGCTACCCATATTAATACCGCTGACAACCTGCAAGCATAAATTGGCATGAGTACACATGGTGTGATTTGATGTGGTAGATTAGGCTATTATCACAACTAAGTAAAAAAAAGGGGTCCGACAGAAAACCATAACAGCAAATGAATAGTTAGTTAGCTAGGAGAAGTGAGAAGTATGATGGGGGAAAAAACTATGAGAACTTGAGAAGTACCAGAAAGAGGTCCATTTAGTAAAAGAGCACAAAATCTCATAAACAACTTCTGATCTTCCACTGATGTTTCCACTAGACCCTTCCTCCTGATTGATTGAAGGAGTCTCGTCCCACTAGGGACCTAGTTCACACATATCATATCCATCAGTGTTTAATTTGTAGTTTTCTTTGATCTTTTCAAGCTGAACCTTTATTGTACTTTTAATTCTGTTTCTTTATTGTACTTGAATCTCTAAGGAGAACTCACTAGTTAAACCATAATAAACTGGAAAATTAAAGATTTTAGCTAGAAAGCAGCACAACTTATCAAGTTTCATCATTTTGAGAAATTAGGACAGTAAATGAGGAAAAGAAAGCCCGAGTAGCCAGTTTTTTAGCATTAAAAGTTAAATCCTTCAATCTAAAGATCCCAACAAAAACAGATATAATGGACTTTGCAAGATTTCAGCTGCCATTACAAGGAAGAGAAAACAAGAGAGCCAAAATTAACTTTTAACATTTGTTTATAGAGTGTAAAAAGTAAATTTTCAGTTAAATGTATGAGTTTCCTCCGTTAAAATATAAACTTCCTCTAAACAATAATATGTGATGACTGAAGCTAAGTGCTACCAGATCAGGTACTGAGGGGAAGAGCGTTTTGGAGAGCCCTATGGAAGTGGAGTCTGCTGGAGTTCCTGCCGAAAGAAAAACAAGAAAGAGACAGAGTTAAGATAAAGAGGAGGGCTTTAGTTAAGATAATTATACAAACATGGGCCACGAAACCAGAAAAAAATAAAGTACACTGCAGATTATGAAATTTTGATATTTTAAGACCCTGACTAACCAGAAACTGCAAAGGCTGTCGCTCCACTGATCTCCACCTTCTTGACGGAAAGTGCACGTTGCCATGAGACACTATGACTGACAGCTGACTTTTCACTGGAAAGATGGGAATAAGAATACAATAAATATCATACAGACCCATTCGGACGTTAACAAATTAAGAGAGAATAGAAAGGAGCAAAGAGCAGTACGTTAACAGAGAATGAGCTACCCTGGAACTTTGATGTATATCAGATCTTTAGTTTCAATCTATAATCACTACTCCCTCCGTTTCAATTTAGATGAGGTTGTTTGACTCGACACGGAGTTTACGAAAAAAAAAAAAACTTTTGAAACTTGTGGTCTTAAAGCTTAAGGGGTAAAAGCTTTGTGGGGCTATGCATTTGTGTGGTTATAAAAACTTCTCATTAAGGGTAAATTGAGTAAAATGAAGAGTTTAATATTATTTCCAAATTTAGAAATGTGTCATTTATTTTGGAACAAACTAAAAAGGAAAGTACCTCATCTAATTTGAAACGGAGGGAGTACTTCATATCAGGAGTTGTGGTAGTGATTCTAGTGAATATCTAATAGTTAACAGTCACATAGTGTTCTAGTTGATGATCATACTGGCCGACGACAAGACTTTATGTAGGCACATGGGCAGAATTTTGGCAGACATGTTTTAGACGTCCAGATACGATACATTAGGTTCAGAAGTGGCTTCTTTAAGTATAACATAACAAGCCTTTTACTCTAGAAACACAGAAAACTAACAAGGCAAACTACCAGCAGATGACCCCTCAGATGAAACGGTTGGTTAGGATCTTCCCGACCAAAGTAACCTAAATGTCAAATCAGATACATAGGGTGGGATCCTAAGTCGTGCGGACTCTTCATTTTTGGTGCCGCACCCGTCCCAACACGGGATGGGTGCGGGATATGTCCCAGATTCGGTCAACTAACTTTGGATACTTTGACCCGAGTCTATCGACAAATTTGAGGGAAAATTGAGATTTTGATTTTTCAAAATTAAAAACAAAACAGATTTAAGACATGCGAAATGGCATACCTTCAATATTGTAGTACTTTTGTCTCATATTTGCTGCTTTGTGTTTCAGAAAAACAAAAAATTCAAAAGGTCGTGTTCTAAGTTCAAACTTCTGGTAGATAGTAGCAGCGATATAGATGGAGTGTTTTCACAGAATATCTCTTAAAATTTATAATATCTTTATAGCTCTATTTTTTATAATTTTGAATTTTCTTAGCCGAATCCCCGCACTTGTATCCATAACCTGGATCCGCACCCCTGAAATCTTAAAATTTAGATTTTTCCAAATCCGACATTGGAAACTGGGATCCGTGCCCACATCGGGTACCCACACCCGAATCTGAGCAACTTAGGTGGGATCAGAATGTTTTCAGTAGAAACTATAACAAGTTGTAGAAGTTTGAATGATTGTTTTCAGAAAATGGCAACAACGAGGTGGCTTGTTATTTATTTTTTTGTCCTTGATATGGTAAAGTCTATCCTCCAAATCCCCACCGCGTATCACTATTGGCCCTCTACATTCTTGGTGACTTTAATGGAGTGCTCTTTCCCGTGGAACAACCTCACTGTCAGTGGCTTACGAATTCATATAGAACATAGATAAAGCTACATGTGACCAACACACCTAAAACGTTTCTTGCTACGTAACCTATCAAAGCTGCTTGATATGTTGGTCATATAGATAAGGCCTCTACATATCACGCATGCTGCACTGAAAGGGCAAGGCACAAGAAACTGTATATGGATCCCGTATCTCCTAATGCCAGAACATTGAAAAAACATAGGTCCAATTTTCTCCACATACTTTGAGATATAACACTAGTTCTGCAAACACTTGCTATTTGCAGTTCTCCCTTAAATAGAATACAAAATATAAGAATCATTTGCAAAATCCAGCTTTGCTTGCAAGCACCTCGACTAAATCATGGGTGTGTGCTACCTGTTGACTCCCACCGCTGGATAACTTTACACATCAAGACTGGAGCAGTAGGTGATATCCACGAGTTTACCAAACAAACAACCAAAACTGCTATTACTGTCCTCGATTTCCCGAGTAATAAATAAAAGTTTTAACCATTGATTCAACTTATCAAGGCCAGGAGGAAGAAAAGAAAAGCAAAACTTGGGACTATCGACATTGGACACCGGTACTTAAAATAGACCGGAAAAAGAACAAAACAACTAAGTTTAAGAAAAAAAAAGGGGGGGGGAACCAGAATATAAAATTTCCAGAAGTGGGACCAATTTCAATTAATATATTCCATAAACTATCAACAGGTGGCTGATCTTACGTACAAATTCGCTAAAATTCAAGAAGAAATACTGTAAATTAAAGAATATGAGAGAGAGAGAGAGAGAGAGCGTACGAATCGGGAGCACAAACAAGGACATTGAAGAGATTGGAGGAGACAAGAACGTGAACGAGAGATCTCAAACCGGGTGCGTCAATTCCGTCGTCATTTGTGACCATCACAGTAGGTTTATGCTCACTCCCATTCTCCATTGTGGCCAAATTTGTAAATGAAATTTGGAATTGTGTTGCTTTGTTCTTTGAGTTGGGATTGAACTGAAAAAACTAACCATCAAAACATTCAATGTATATATAAAGGCAGAAGCAAATCTAGACAAGTAATAAAGGTGGAAAAGTAATCTCCACAGGTTGGTGGATATCCTACGTATTATTCCCAATCTTGTCGCTTTTTATCTTGTTATATGCTTCACTGGGCGCTTTACTGGATTCATCAAAAAAAATGGCTGAATGCTGAGGTGGTGCTCAAAAGTGATTTTAAGTGCTGAAACAGATTTAATAAATAAGGAGTGTTTGAATACAAGCGCTAAAATTGATGCTACGGTATTTTATAAAAAAGTACTGATAAACTCTTTTTCTATTAAAATAACTTAAATAACTTTAGAACTGTTTACACTTGGCGTAATTTCTTCAAAATTTTAGATTCCAGATTGATTCAAATACTAAATATTATATTTGTCATTTTATTTTAAATACAATTATGTTTAGATAAGATAATTTTTATGATAGATATAATTTATTTTATGATAAACAAAATTTATTTTATGATAAACATATAATCATAAGCTATAATAATTAATAAATTAGCAAAAGTTTCTCAATAAAAAATAGACCTAAATAAGACAAAATATTGAAGAGAATAACAATGTGTTCATCACCACAACACTTGATATGTCCAAAAATTTGCAATTCAAAGATTAATACACAATCACATAGATACAAATATGCGAAGGAATAGTGAATTTGCTTATCTTAAATAGTGAGAGAATTGCAAACTTGAAGAAGCGGGGGTCTAGGTTGAAAAATACTTGAAGCAGTGAGTATCAATATAGGAGTTTTATTCTAAAAAAGAGTATTTTAAGGATAAAATAGTAAAAATCTTGGTCAAACTTAAAGTGCTTATAAGCTAAAAATTCATAAGCTGGGGGTGGTGACCAGCTTATGGCTTTTAGCTTATTTTTGGTTTATAAGTACTTGGCTTATAAGCACTTTTAACTTTACCAAATGCGTAGATAAGCCCAAAACTGCTTATAAACTAGTTTGACCAACTTATAAGCTTACCCAAACGCCCTCTTACTTTTGCTTTAATAATTGGGAAAATAACACTTTAGTTGTCTTACAAAAATATACCGTCACCAACAAGGGTTGTGGTGGAGTGGTAAGTACTCCTTCATCCTTAACCAGAGGTCTCGAGTTCGAGCCCCCGGGTATGGAGTCGCCTTTGTTAGGGAGCGCTTTACCCCCAAATGTGGACTTCCCGGCGCGAATCCGGATTTAGTCGGGCCCCAATGTGGGTACCGGACACCGGATGAGAAACCAAAAAAAAAAAAGAAAATATACCGTCAGACATCTCTATAACAGCATCCTCATATAACAACACTTTACTATAAATGTCAAGTTTTTCCGGAACCAATTTTCATGTTATGTTATAATATATATTCTCTATAACAGCACTTCGCTATAACATCCAAAAATATTCGGAACAAACGAAGCTGTTATAAAGAGGTTTAACTGTATATTTTAGTCGCGGGATATTAATAATTTGTAGCCAACGAATATAAATAATTTTGATCGAGGACTAAAAGTGATCTTTGCCCTTAATAATTACGTTTTGGGCATGTACAATTTTAATACAAGTGAATCTAACTTTTCATTTGATATATCTTGAATTAACAACTTCTGGTCTTGTGCTTCTTTTGCCGTAGATTATAAAGTGATCTCACTACTACGTGAATTACTCCAGCAGAGTGCACCTTTTTTTTGGTGATGTTTTTGGACCGTCAACGTCGACTTACTCAATTTTAATTGATTTTTCCAACAATCATAAAAAGATATTAAGTAATTCAAATAACTACAACTAGTAAAGAATATCTTAATAAATAAATTGACAAGTTTGAATCGTTATCGGGCCGCGCTAACTATTTGGGGTAAAAATAGCACGGTATAGCCAGTTTTCGGACTGGTCAATAAAAAATAGCCAGCGTTTACCAAGTCAATGAAAAATAGTCACTATTTTGCTGCAATAGAGACCGGTCCAGCATAATATACTGGAGTTCGGTGCACTTGTGTATGAACTCCAGCATATTATGCTGGATCGGTATACTTTGCTTGCTCCAGTATAATATACTGGAGACTGGAGCACCGGTGCTCCAAACTCCAGTATATTATACTGGACCAATATACTTGCTGGAACTCCTGTATATTATGCTGGAGTTCTAGTGTACTTATGCTGGAACTCCATCATATTATGTTGGAGTTCCAGCATACTTATTCTGGAACTCCAGTATAATATGCTGGAGTTCAAGTATACTTATGCTGGAACTCCAGCATAATATACTGGAGTATTTTCCGGATTTTGAACAGTGTTTTCGCTCAGATTTATCTTTATATAAAAAGTGGCTAAATTTCGATTACTTTTGAAATTGGGCTATTTTTGAACGACCAGTTATAAATTGGTTATTTTTAAAATTTACCCCTATTTGGGAGACTACTGCAATTATCAAGTTCAATCCTATGGGTATACAACAAGGTTCTTGGTCCTCCCAGGCAACTCCACCTGCATAAGGATATTTTTAAGATAAAATTGATAATACACGATGGTGAAAATGGTCTCAAAAGAAAATTTCTCTAAGAATGATTACAGGTGTTCCCATGTGCTTATGTTTCTTCCAGTAATGGTGAAATTGGCTCTCTTATGAGGTTTTAAGTAAAAAAATTGCGACTATATTGGCAGAATGGCAATGTGACCCAACTATATTCTTGAAGATTAAGGTGTTTTCCTCTTTCTGGTTTAAACTAGGAAATTTTACCTCCTATAGTAAAGGTATACATCCTATTTATTATAAACCAAAATTATTTTAAAATATTATTTTCTATACCTTTTATATTTTATAGCAAAATAAGTATTTATGGTATATACTACCATTGAGGCATGAAATAAGCTATTTATATTTTTCCTCTCTCTTAGACAGTTGTCATACCTATTTTTAAGGTGATTGCCGTTACTGTATTCATGAATACATGACACGAATACATGTGAATACATGTGTGTACAGCTGGACTGCGCTGATTTTAGGCACTTTTTACTGCTGTATTCATGATTACAACAGCGCGAATACATGTGCGTACAGCTTGACTACCCTGATTTTAGGCGCTTTTTGCTGCTGTATTCATGAATACATGACGCGAATACATGTGAATACATGCGTGTACAGTTGGCTGTCCTGATTTTAGGCGTTTTTTGCTGTTGTATTCATGAATACATGGCGTGAATACATGTGAATACATGCGCATATAGCTGGACTGCCCTGATATAGCAGCGCGAATACAGCGCATACACTACTGTAACAACTGAATTGTAGCTATAAGAAGTAATTTATGTATATGGTAGCTATAGGAAGTTAATAACCATTAAAAATTAGTGGTTTCTGAAAATTCCTCTTTAAACTAATGGGCGTAATACATGGGAGGGTCGGATTAATTTGTGGGAACGGGTCGGATCCGGTTATGAGTTAAAATTAAGTAAAAATTGTGTGGGGTAGCCACTTTTTAAAGTGGTATGTGCTTTTTATCCAGCATTATGCTTAGCAATAGTAGCCACTAGTCTATTAAAATTAATATGAAAAGACTATGTTACCCTTTCTTCTATCTCTTTCGGGAGAAGAACTGTGCAACTAGACTCTTTCTCATCTGTTGGATTGGACTCCCTCCATCGAAAAAGATGAGTTGACACCAGATCTCACATTAAGGCTTTGATCACAGTTGAAAACATAGCGGATGGCTTGCTAATTTGGACTCTCTCACTTCCTCTGTATCGCGACATATATCACAATGTGTGCATTTTGGAATATAACTTAACAACGATATGAGGTCTTCTCACTATATTTGGACTCAAGATCTTTGTTTTGCTCCACTAGCAGCTCAGGTCCAGTGAATTGAGAATGTGATTAGGTGATTGTTGTACAATCTGAATGTATTTTATTACAAATTGTAACAATTTTCCTTTTACAAATTCTGCCTTAAGTAGGGTGTGATTGTAATTGACTTTAAGATAGGGAACAAACAACGTTTGGTTTTCTGCTACGTTATGGATCCTGAACTTACAGTTACAAGTTCAAAAGTTAAGGACAGTTGGTCCTGAACTTCGAGTTCCAAGTTCAAAAGTTAAGGACACTTGGTCCTAAACTTAGAATTACAAGTTCAAAAGTTAAGGACACTTGGTCCTGAACTTAGAGTAACAAGCTCAAAAGTTAAGGACAATAGGTCTTGAACTTACAATTACAGGTCAAAAGTTAAGGACAATAGGTCCTGAAGTCCTGAACTTAGACTAACAAGCTCAAAAGTCAAGGACAATAGGTCCTGAACTTAGGCTAAGAAGCCCAAAAGTTAAGGACAATAGGTCCTGAACTTAAAGTTACAAGTTCAAAAGTTAAGGACAATAGGTCCTGAAGTCCTGAACTTAGACTAACAAGCTCAAAAGTTAAGGACAATAAGTCCTGAACTTAGGCTAAGAAGCCCAAAAGTTAAGGACAATAGGTCCTGAACTTAGACTAACAAGCTCAAAAGTTAAGGACACTTGGTCCTGAACTTACAGTTACAAGTTCAAAAGTTAAGTACATGTAGTCCTGAAGTCCTGAAGTTAAGTTCAAAAGTTAAGGACATGTAGTCTTGAAGTCCTGAACTTAGAGTTCCAAGTTCAAAAGTTAAGGACATGTAGTCCTGAAGTCCTGAAGTTAAGTTCAAAAGTTAAGGACATGAGCAGAAGGGTATTTTCGTCCGGGCAGTTAAAGTTTATTAAAGCAGTGGCTAAAGACTAAAGACATTTTAAACAGTGGCTTAAATGTAAATACATGTGTTATTAGTGGCTAACCGTGCACTTCCCCCTAAAATTAATGAGGTTGTGTTTTTAATCAATGGGTTGGTTGATTAGAAGCCTTCACATGCTCAACCGTTTAAAACATGGACAAATTTAGAACGTTACCGGAAGGTAAGGATAAATAATAAATTCGGCCAAAGAGTATAACAAAGACACATTTGTATAATAGATACGGCTGATTTAGACTATACACAACGGATTCAAGAATTAATGGGGTATTTGTATCTATACCCAGTTTTTGGGTAACCTTTTAACCTATACCCGCTTTGCAAAAAAAAAAAAAAATACAGGCGTACCCACTTTTCGGGTAACTTCAGACATACGGACCTGAATTAGCAAGA